CTTTGAACCTACATCTATAGAAATAGTTCTGTTCATTGCGTTGTGATGAACAACAATAAAAGACGGTACTTATTTCCCAGGACTGTATCTGCATTACAGTGGAGGAAGCTAGCGATCACATTTGGAGATGAAGGTGCAGATACAAGAACTACTCTACCTTTAATGTAGTACATAGAACCATTCTGAAGTAAGCACGTTGCCAGTGATGAAACTTATTAAAATGCAACAGTTTTTCATCTTGCCAAAGATTGTCCTTCCTAATGGACTCATGAACCATAAAGGGAAAGGATTACTCTGTAAAATGTAATCTTTCTTTCTAAATAACTGACAAAATAGTCAAGTACTTGCATGCCTAAGCATTTTACATGTTTCAGTGAACAGAATGCTTTTGTATTCATTTAGTCAAGTGTTAAATATGTTTTAAGGCCCTGAGAACAGCATTTCAGAGCTGCTTTCGGGAACACATTTCTGTGATGAAATTATTTGTCAGCTGATGATTGCCAGGAAGTAGAACAGACATTATTTACTTCAAATCATCAGATTCTACTTAGCACAGTAACAGAAAGAAAAATAATTACATAAGTCAGGATGTAAAGCTAGAAAAATACTCGGAGCACTATGCATCCAGAGTGTCTTATGGAAATCTTTAAGAACGGTTCTATTGTCATATTAGTATTTAATTTCTATGCTTTCCACAGTAGTAAGCCTTTTAGCAAGGACCTGGAGGTCGGTGATTCTTGGTTTGCAGGGAGCAAAATGAATAACGACAATGGCAATGTGTTGCTTGCACATGCTTTTTGTCCAAGCTGCCTTTTGATTAGTTCTTAGGGTTTTTTGTGTTTTCGATTTAGCCAGTTTTCTCATGATTGATCACAAATGGGTTGTAGTTTGCTCATCCTGCTGAGAAGGCTGAGTTTTAAATTTTGATTATTTTCATCACGTAGTTACTTTCTATTTCTTTTACAAGGATTACTGCAATTTACCATGTATAATTTTCAAATCTACCGCTTCGGTAAACAAACCGTGTCATGGCAGAATCCATTAGAATTCTTTTATCATTGAAGAGTGAAGATCAGCTCTTCTCGTGATTGTTTTAACCTACTTAAAAAACTGAAAGAAAGTTATGCATTAATTAGTTCTGCTGTTTGGTAAATAGGAATCCTGCTGGTGGTTGTATTTTGTAGTACCTTTGCCCTCATTCAAACAGCAGTCCTCAGCGTGGTGGGAGTGATTTTCTTTTGCAGTCCTGAAATACCCAACTTTCAGAATTCTGCTGTTAAATGAACAGGAAACTAGTGTGCCGCGTGTATCAGATTGCATCCCCAGAGTCAGTTCAATCCAGGAGTATGCACGTGTGGTTAACAGCATAGCTTCAGCTGCTTACGACACACCAAGACTGATCTCAGTAGTTCAAAAACCAGCTTGTGTTACCCATTACTTTCCTGATAAAACCTTTCATGAGTCATTAATTTTCATCTGGGTCAGATAAGATCCAACGTGCTACAGTATTACCAGACATGCCTCTTGCAGCTACACAGAATGACTGGTTTGTGTTGCCAAAAAAAAAAAGCATGTTCTGCTGTCTGAAAAACAACTCGGTGCCAAATATTTAGTTAGTCATTCATTTTTAGCCCATTTCCAGTACGGGAAGTTTTTGGATACATTGTCATTTATAATTGGAGGAATTCCCTAATTTTTTTGTTAACTGTCTAAACGAGACAGTGGTCTGCCATTCCACAATGAATATTAGGAAAGATAAAAAAAGAACTGTTAGAAAATATTTTCCTCCTTTGAACTAAAAGAAGTGAAGGGTACCTTACTGAACCTCTTCTACAAAGTAATTTTTATGTGAAAGTTACTGGAGTCTGAAACATTTTTCCTCACTTTTCAGTTTGTTTTTATTAGCTGTATTCCATTGATTTTTTTTGATAGTATGTGGGATTCTGTGTAAATGTCCAAAATGTAAAATGCCTTTTTTTTTTTTTCTTTAATCTGAATTCTATAAAACTTCTCTGCTTTGGTTTTGAGACTAGAAAATGAACATAAGCAAAAGAAACTCGTAATTAATTAAGGAAACCCACAATGTAACATTGTCTAGGTCTAAAACTATGTAGGTATGTTTTGGAAATACTAGGATTATTTAGATTAGCTATACTGTGAATTTTTAAAATATTAGAATACCATTGCAAGTAGAGATAAAATAAAGTGACTTCTTTGAAGAATATGGAAAAAATATGCCTGGATAATTAAATGTGCCCATTATAAATGGATCGAATTGATTTAGAGAACGGTCCTGTGAGACTCGACCTGAAATACGAACAGTCCGGCCTTCACACGAGTTTTCTGAGTGAGGCCGTGGTGTAATCAAAGTATATACCATGGCCTATCAAAGTAGAATGAACAGATTTCAAACAGCTTCAGAATCCGTCTGTGTCACAGCATTCTGAAGAGTTTCTGGGGATGCTACTTTGTTCTATATCTTCCATTTATCTTCCATTCTCACTGCTGTGCAGAGACAGAAATTATCTTCCCAAACTCTGCATAAGGGGAATACTTATGCATCCAGAGTTTTTAATTCTGGTCAGTTTATACGGAAAAGTTAACTGGAAGTGATGACAAAATACATTCTGGTTTTACTGGGAATGGGATTTGTTAAATATGAGTTGTGTTAAATACAGAAAACTTCAGGGGGAAAATAGGAATGACGTGATGTTCGTATTGGTGGTATTATTTAGAGACCTAAAAAAAGCTTGCAAGTATTAATTGTGTATGGAAACCAAAACATTGATTTGTATGAATTAGTACTATCCTGCATGAAGATGAAGATATTGAGTGTGTAAAATGACTGCCCAGACTTGTGACTGCAAAATTACTGTTCCAGACAGGTCTCTTGAAAACTTAGCTTGGTGAATTTACTTGTTTTAGATACAAACTGATTTTCATTAAAGCCATTTATGTTGGAAGCTCTTCAGCAGTTCTCCCAGCACTTCTTTGTATAAGGAGCACTTTCTGGTGTCCTTCTAACATAAAATACAAAAACATTATGTGATACTTTAAATAGTTTATGATGCAGTTTATTTTTCTGTTTATTTCCAGAAGAGATATGTACCCTTGTAATTGCAGAAACTTTTCCTGAAGATTCAGGACTTTTCACATGCACAGCAACAAATGAATATGGTTCAGTAACAAGCAGTGCACAACTAACTGTCTGCTCAGGTATGTGATGAAGTGAAAGAGGAATTTTTAATCATAGATATTAGATGATTAATTTACCTGTGAAGTTATCAGTCTGCTTCCCGTGTAGAAAAGGGCTGCTGTAAGACACGGGTTTTGTCAACCTCAGACCATTCATATAAAACAAACTGAATGTTTTTATTGGCTCATTTCCTAGTTTAAGATTTTTATTCATGTAAAATACTTCTTTTTTTAAGTGTCTGCCACAAGGCTGGCATATTTTTAAGCATTAGAGTTCCAAGACTAGATGGCAGCAGAGGCAAAATGGAAGCAGATGAGATTATGCTACCAAAGTTGGCATATGCCTTTTGTAAAATAAAAACCTGTGATGTGGGATGTTTAGTCTTGTAATATGTTTACATACGTATTGTTGTGGAATGCACTAACCCAGCTGCCATTGCAAACATACCATGTATACGTACATCCTTCAGCATTTTAAAATTATTTGTTCTTAAATGATGCTGAGGCTTCAGGAACAGGAAATGCTGTTTCAGCTGTTGTTGTCTGTAGTTGCCAATCCCAGTTAGTGCTTGGATTCCTGAAACAGATCTAGAGGGATCTGTAAGGTTCCTTATTGTGCCTTTTGCCTGGGGCAAAGTCAGAAAATGAATAGCCAGTCATGTATCTCATTCCGCATAAATTGTCAACAGGAGGTCTAGAAAAATATCTGCACAGAACCAAAGAGATCTCCCCTTTCACAAACTGAAAATACAGCATGTGTATACCATGTACTTTGTCTATGACTTGTCGGAGAGACATTCTTTTTGATTTCTTTTAGCCAACTCGGAAAGCTCTAGTCATGAACCACTGACAAGAGAATCCAACAGTGATGATTTCCAACATTTCCCACCACTTCCTCCAGTTGAAATTAGCTCTCTTGAGCTTCCTCCTAAGAAACATACAGAGCACCACCAAGCAAACAATACTGAGTTGAGATCTGGTGTGACAGCCGTTGAACTACAGCTGAATTCGTCTGAGGAAAAAACAAACGGCACCCATCCCATTCATGGAGTAAACGGAATGATTAACAGCAAGCCAAATGGTGATAAACCCATCCCACCTCCAGCTGCCTTGCTTTCACCCACAAAGGAACCACCACCCGTGCTTGCCAAACCAAAGCTGTGAGTATTTTTTTGGTTTTGTTTCCTATAGACTTGATATTTGTTGAAAGCGAATTTTTGCCTGGAGCAATTTAATGTTAGGCAAATAATGGACAATGATTGTGTCTGTCCCTTGAACATTCTTCTTACCGCTGTGATTTATGTCCCAAAGAGCTGAATACAAGAGAGAACGGTGCTCTTTCTCATAGTGCTACATCAAAGGGAAGTACCTTTTATGTACCAAATTCTGTAGAAAGATTTAAGATAAAGTCACAAAAAAGAAATAAGTGGTAGTGGCTGTTGCTCTGTGCTTTTTGTTCTTAGTCACTGTACCTAAATGTCATAGTTGCCTGAGATTCTTGCGTGCTGTTCCTGTTTCAACACTGGTTAGCTGTCTTTATTCTGAATGTTCTTGGGTTTCTGTAGTCAGTGGGTATTCAGGTATGTAATGTTTGTATTATTTCTTACATTATGTTTATATATAACATGTAGCTCATTCTGCTGTCAGCCAGACTGCAATAGCTCTTTTATAACTAAAAATCTGGAAATGAAAAGCTCAACAAGAGGAACGAGAAATAAGTGGAAAAAATTGTAGTAACATTTTTACCTTATGCTTAGTATATATACCTTACTTATATATATACACCTTACTTATGCGAAAGTGGTCTTGTGCTGACTGTTAACTTATAGCTTGATTTTAGCATTGGGCAGACTCCTCTTTTCCCTCCCCCTCAAGAATTTTTGGACTGTGATGAAGGAACTAAAATGCTATTTTATTTCATTTGCATCAATAATCAGAAGGGATTATTAATTATAAACACGTGTTTAAGAAGCAGCATGAAATATGGTGTTTCAAGCTTAGCAAGGTCATTTGCTTGATGACATTTTCTCACAGGATAACTTGCAAAATACAAAAATGCTGTTCTTTTAGCAATCGTGCTGATTTTAAACATACAAAAACACATGCTTGAGGCAGTAAGCCAACAGGGTTCCCTTCCTGCACTCACCACTTTTTTCTTTCTGTTGCTCTTTGTCATTCTAAGCAGTCCCTGACGCCTGTAGAAGAGAAGGAGGAGTGAAGAGGTATATATGAGGGGTGATTGCATGTATGGGAGGGAGGTTGCTGAGGATGGCAACTTGCAGATGATAGGTGATGCGGAGTGAGCCAGGTGGTCCTGTACTCAGCACATCTGTTGGAAGACCCATTTGTGAAGAAAGGAGAGAGTGGCTCCAGCAGAGCAGTAAAAAGCAAATGTCACCTCAGGGCTTTCTTTCCCAGAAGTGAAGTTGCCCTAGATAAAGGAAAGGCGGCCGTGTAACAGACTTCCCGTTGTATCATGTTCACTGCTTTGTGTGCAAAATTTGTTTTGTTTTTAAACATAGAGTCAACATATAAACAGGGGTCATCGTTGTATACAACGATGTGAGAGGGACACTATTACGAGAATCCTTTCGGTTGCTGATGTCCAAATTGACAACCTTGGAATCCCTAGTGCAATTGCACTCGAATCCTATATTTTGCCATCTACAACACTTGGTGCGCAAGAGGCTGATCTTGGCTGCAGTCAAGATAAGTGTTTTGCTTGGCCAAAGCTGGTGTAAGTTTATGATACTGTCAGAGAAATCTTGCCTTCCTCTCAGCCCAGTATTTTGCTCCCAAGCATCGTGATAGCGTAAGAAAGGGAAAGGGTGCTAACAGGAGGAGGAAAAGGAATGTCTGGTTGCAGAGACCTGCAATCAACTTTCAGCGTTTGGGAAACTGAGTCCTGAGTCAAAGCTAACAAAATAATTGCGTTAAAATTAGATGATTAGTAAAGTAACTATCTCAACCACGAGAGTGATCCCTGTTGAAGAGAACTCTTCTGAGGAGTTGTATCTCTCCATAGAGTATTAGTGTTTGATGACAGAAGCAGCATATATTAGCAATGACATAACAGCAAACATGTTTATTGTAATCTTTTTTTAATTACTTAATGTTGGCTATGCATAAAGCTTGAAGCTTCTGAATATCATTAGTGAGTCTTACTTTTCATGAAGACTGACTCTGATTTAAATTTCCTAAAGAACCTTTCCTTTTCTTTTCAAGCGTATCTTAACTTATAAATTACTTAAAAGGTTTATCTGTGAGCTCTCTGAAAATAGTTTATTCAGCCAACACTGAAAGTAACTGCAAAGAGTTTGGGAATGATGGACTGGTTTTGATTTGGTGTCGTTTTTATTATTATTATTATTTTGTTTGTTTAACAAGAAGGAGAGAGTGAGTACCTACTTAAAGTATGAAATACATTTGCACCTTGGCAATGCAGCTGTACCCAACACCTATAAATAACGATTTACCACAATTCAGTCTAATGCAAGAGCTGGCATGCTACAGAGTTGCTGTAGTTGTTTTCAGGCGTGAAAAATGTTTTTAAAGTCCTACAAAATGCTCAGTTTGTGGTTACAGACACTTAAGTAATCCTTAAGCCATAATATTAGTTGTTGCCTCAGTCTGGTGCTGAGAATATTTAAAACAGAGTTTATTGTGCTAATATACAGGACTGTCTGGGAAAAGTGTATATAGAATTAACTGGGGAAGCAGTCAATACCAGCTATTTTGCTAACATGGAATTTAGAAGACAGTAATGCTAAATATGGTTAAAAGGCACAATATTTTATCATGCCTTGTTAGCAACATGAGTTTATGTAGATAAGAGAGGAAGAAGTGTTGAACTGAGACCAAAAAACCCCAGATATCTGCAATTCTGATCTCTGCTGCTGTGACCTGTTTGGAGAGGTTGAGCCATTAGCGTGCATTGGACTTTTCTGGGCAATACTGGTGTAATACACAGATGAGCTTTCAGAAACGTCCCCACATATGTGTGCTATCTTCAGATACTTTGCATCTCTCAAAATTAGGCAAATAAGTGTTAATTTCAGTATGTAGCCCGTGTGTGAAAGTGCTGCCTTAAACCCCTCATAATCCTCAGTCTGATGTTTGCAAAAAAAGGCAGAACACTGTATATAACATGTCCATGGTTTCAAACGAAGAACTTCCATTCAAAGGGGCTTAGTATTACCATTATTTTTCCATGTGTCTGTTAAAGCAGTAACAGAAAAGAAGATGGTGTTCGTGTGGTTACTGGATGTAGCTACCTATGTGATGGTAGTTTGCTTTGTAACAAGCCATTAGCCCGAGGTTCATAGACTCGAGGTGACTTCAGTGTGGTGCCAGAATTTCCTGACCAGAGAGCTTCTCTTCAGATGACTACCGTTTTATTCCAGTCTGTCATATACAACGATCAGAAGTGGGAGTCGTTCTCTTCTCCCTTGCAGATGCAGAGAGCGACCGCAGGTATCGATAGCCTTCTTTCTATAGTTAATCCGCTAACATAAACTCAAGAGAAGCCAGTCGGAAGTGACATGTTTGACACCTTTAAAATTAGCACAGCAATACCTGCCCCTGTTAGAATGATCCACTTTTTTTTTTCATTGCATTATTGTGAGTAGCATTCTGCATGGGCATGCATCATGCATGCTGTGAAGATGAATGGATAAATTCCTGAATTCCATCTCACCCAGTTCTCTTCCACAATGTTTTTCTGCAGTGAAAATGAAAGGCAGGTACTAATTTTGTAAAAAGAATGCCAGTTTAAAAGGAAAAGCAGGAAGATGTAATTTCTTGCGGTTTATGAAGTTGTTGATAATCAACATTTCCTTCAACAGACATGGCTATATTGTTTCCTGTTTTTTCTGAGATTTGGGCTTTTTTTTGAAATGTGTTCAAAAGTCTTTGTTTTTTAAATAATACACAGAAGAAATTAATCATAAACATAATTAAAAAGATATCAAGCAGTTTATATGTAACATCAGTAAGGAAAAGCTGAGATTATAATTTAAATTATTTCTTAAAGATAAGGAGTTAATCTGGTTGATGCGCATCGAGGTTACTGCTGTGTGAGCTGATAGAACTTCCTTAACTAAAAAGGCTTGTGTTCATATTGGCTGTGAAAGTGATACGATTTCTTGAACGGAATTATTTGTCACTTCAGTCGCCTTTCCTCAGCAGCTGAGTTTTCTTTCACCATTTCTTGTTTTGTAATCAGTGCCTCAGACATTTTTGCAAAGATGTTAGTTCAGCCGTTTCTAGGATCTCTCTTACACCCTTTATTAAAATGTTTAAGTCACTATTTTTCACTCCTCACTGAAATTATTCTTAACTTGATCTTTCTGCTAGCAATTTGCTTAATATTGAACTTACTTGTCCTTCTAGTCAAGTAGACGCTATGATGTTTGTAATGCCTGTCCTGCCAGGCATTGGGATTTAAAGATACTGCAAGAAACTATTACTTCCTTAATAACTGTATTGGAGATACGCAAGTAGTAAGTCACTGTTTAGACTGTATTGGGAAGAGCTGGATAGAAAAAGTATAGCCAACAATCAAAGATTAGTGCCTTGAATATACAAAAGTCAGGTATAAGTCCTTAGTCTGCCTAAGAGAGCCCAGGCCGCTGAAGCCCAGAGAACAGAGTGTTGTGGTGGCAGCTTTGAAGTCTTTGCATTTGTTCTTATGCAGAACAGCAACATTCTGGAAATGGCGAGAAGACATGTAGAAAAACTGTTTTCCATCCAATTCTACTGATGTATATATGAATGTGATTTGCTTTAGCAACCTAAATTAAGAAAGACTGGCCACAGAAATGCTCGACTTGAATGTTAAATGCTGATTTATGTAAGGTTTTGTTTGAAGTTATTGCATTTTCTGATAAAAACATGAATAGAAAACCATTCTTGCATAATCTGAATGACGCACAGAGCAGACCTCTGCTGCCATTACTTGAATGAAATAAAAAGTAACGGAGCTTTTCCCAACTATGGGAAAGATATTCCCCACCTCTTATATGTGATTCAACAGTGAACTATGTCCCAGGGGGTTTTTCATATTTCTTCAAAAGTTAAGTTAAAAAACAAAAGCAGGGTTTATTAATTTTGAACTAGAACTACCAATCAGAAATATGTACAGTATATATTAAAGAGTTATTTGCTACAACAAAAGTATGGGAAGCGAAAGCTTTGTCATTACAGAAATGCAAAGATAAAAAGAAAACACAGCTATTAAAAAAATTATGAAGTTATACAAACAATAATTTAAATCAAAAGGCAATAATTTAAAATTCCACCCAGTTTGAAAATTCACATTACAAATATGTACTCTTATAGAGAATAAGACACTGGTTAACATCCCCCGTAATACGATAGAAAAAAAGGGTAAAGTAATGTGTAATTGAGGTTCCCATATTCCATAAGGTTGAACAAAATTCAAAGTTGTAAACATTCATGGCATTTTACTTGGAAATGAACAAGGTAATCCTCATCTGTATAAGAAAATTTTGACACACGGGTTTTGTCTGGGATCACAGTTATCACGTAACTTTGCTTTCATGAGCAAAGATCCATCCAGCTCCATCTCTTTAGTTTCATCGGCTGCACTCTTTCATGGTTGATAAGGACCTTTGGATCTTTAACTTGCTAGTAAAGTCTACCCACAATAAAACTTTGATCTACACGTATTTTCTACGTGTAGAAATAACACATGCTAACAAAATTTGCTGAAATGTAAAGCAGAATAACTGCACACAAAGTTAATCACTTGATTAGAGTACAAGTCCTGAGCATTTTCTACATCTGTTTTCACAATTAATATATGAATGGTTCATTTGTAGTGCTTTTGTTTCCCTCTCTTATTTCATAGCAGTAATTTTTTAACATGATTAGAGATAAACCAAGGAAAACTTTTGCGAAGAATTTCCATTTCAGTGGCTACTAATCAGCGGGCACTTGTTCTAGGACTAGGGTTTATGATTTGGTGATAAAAATTAATATATAAAATTAGAGGAGGCTTTATGAGAGAATATAGGGGCTTGTCTCCATTTTCTCAGGCTATTTTCTTACGCAAAATTTGCAAATCCTGAGAAGGAACAAGAAGTACTGTAATGCCTCATGGCACACCTGTGGACTGAATGCAGTAGATTAAGTTAGTTTAAACCATGATATTAGTTGACTTCCCTAGTGATCTTAGGTCACTGAGAAAAACGCTGAGACCGCTGGGAGATGGAAGAGAGGAAATAGGAAGTGTTATGAAATGTAGGTTGAAAGTCGCATTTATTTATCATGCTCTGTATCTCAGTGTTTTAAAGAATGAAGAGAATATGTTTAGTTTTTACCAAAAAAAAGATAAATCAGTGGAACAAAGTTTCTGAGCATTTTGTGGTATATTAGATTGATGTTCATGGGTAGGAAAGCTGAAAAATTACAGGGGCGATAGGGTGTTGCAGCTGCAGAGACAGCTACCTGTTAAAAAAGTATGCAAGGACAGCCAGTGCGAGGACTAGGACTCTTTTTCTTCAAGTTATAATGATGCTAAATCCTAAATCTTCCTACAAGGAGTTTTTTAACCTTTTAAGGTGTTCTATCTTTATATCCTTATGACTAAAAGAACACTTGTAAAAGCGTGGCTCTTTCCTAGGGAACTGCAAACAATTTAGGCACCATTTTTCTTATGCAAAAGGAGACCCAATTTTGCTGAGAAAACTAGATTGTCTGTACCTAGTATGTTTT